TTATCCCTGTCCCACCCTCCAGGTTATCCCTGTCCCAGCCTCCAGGTTATCCCTGTCCCACCCTCCAGGTTATCCCTGTCCCCACCAGGTGCTGCGGCCACTCGGACCCAGCAGGTGAACGGCGTCCTGGGGGGGTCCGCGCTGCTCTCCCTGGATCTGCCCCCCAGCAAGAGGGTGAAAGCGGTCGAGTGGACGTTTTTAGATGTCAGCCGTGTCAGGATCCTGCTGGGCGAGTTCAGCCACAGTGGGTTCGAGCGCTCCGACCCCCAGGATCGATTCGGGGAGCGGCTGGAGATGAACAAGACGACGCTGAGGATCGGGACCCTGGAGAGGGGCGACAGCGGCGCCTACGAGGCTCGGATTAAACTGCCCCCGGCGGTCGTGGAGACGCAGCTCTTCACCCTCTCCGTCTACGGTGGGTGTTTGCAGGGCAGCAGTTCCTGGAAGAGGCTTTCCAGCCCCCCGGAGGTGCGAGCGCTGGGAAAGGGGAAGGGAAACCGCTCCGTCACGGGGATTGTCCCGGCTCCGGGACCAACCGCGACCCCGGCGCTTCCCCTTTTCCTCGCTCTGCCCTTCCACCTCTCCCTCCCCGGGCCCTGGGACGGGTTTGTTCGCTCCTCCGACAGATCCGGTGCCGGAGCCGCAGATCCAGGGGCGGCGGCTCTCCCTCAGCCCCCGGGAATGCAACCTCACCCTGCGGTGCCAGGCGCCCCCGGGCAGCAATGCCACGGTCACCTGGCAGCTCGGGAGCTCTCTGGGGGTGCCACAGCTCTGCGGGGACAACCAGACCCTGTGCCTGGCCCTGCCTGTCGCTGCCTTCAACTCCACCTACACCTGCCTGGCCCGGAGTCCCGCCCAGGAGCGGAATGTCTCCGTCCACCCGGGCACCCTGTGCCAGCAGCAGCAGGGTAAAAAACCGCTCCTGCACCCAGATTCAACCCCCCCAGGAGGTGAATTCACCCCCTCTGGCACCCACCACGGCTTGTCCCTGCAGACACGGGGCCCTGTCAGAGGAGACACACGTGCCTGGTGCTGGTGGCCGTGGGCATTTTGGCCCTGCTTGGCATCGCCTGGGTCTGGAGGAGGAGGAGGAGGAGGAGGAGGAGGAAGAAGTCTGAGGGAGGTGGGCACCACCGGGCTTTGAGCTCAGAGCTGGGATCAACAAAGCTGGGAAAAGGGGGAGAGAGCTTTTCCCCTCACCCCGGTTCTTTTCTTTATGGAAAAGGGTTGTCAGGCACTGGAAGGGGACGAGGGACTGGACGAGAGGAAACGGCCTCAGGCTGCGCCAGGAGAGGTTCAGGTGGGACACGAGGAGGGATTTGTTCCTGGAAAGGGTGGAGGTGCCCGAGGAAGGGCTGGACACTCAGTGCTCTGGGCTGGGGATGCGGCACAGGGGGGACTCGATGACCTCACAGGTCTTTTCCAACCTAAATTGGGATTCTGGGATCTGCCTGGGCCAGGGTGGCCCCCCTTCCACACATCCCGGCTCCCTCCAGCACCCCTGGGATGGCTCCTCTTGCTCTTCTTCTCTCCGTAGGTGCCCTCCCCCCCCTCTCCAGCGAGGATCCCCCCCCGGAGCTCCTGTACTCCGAGATCCAGAGGAGAAACTCTCCGGAGCCTCGGGAGTGGGTGAGTCTGAGAGGGGGGGGGGGGATCTGGGGGCAAATCCAGTTCATTCTGAGTCCAACCCCTTCCCTCCAGCACTGGGGGGGTCCCTCTGTGCCCCCAGAGCCCCCCCTTTTCCTCCTCCCCTGGAAGTGGCACCGAACTCCTGGGGGGCTTCCCCGGGCAGGGGACATTTCCCAGGGCCACCAGGTCCCTGGGGGGGGTTGTCCCACCTCGCCCACCCCCCTTCCCGAGGGTCAGTGGCTCGAGGGTGGGGGTCTGACCTGTTTTCTGCCCCCGAGCAGCAGGACGGGCCCAGGACCATCTACTGCGAGGTGCAGGTGAAGGTGTGACCTGGAGAGTCCCGGGTGAGTCCCGGGTGAGTCCCGGGTGAGTCCCGGGTGTGTCCCGGGTGTGTCCCAGTCCCTGAGAGGCTCCGTCCTTGTCCCTCCACCCCCAGAGGGAGGCGGTTCCATCCTCACCCTCCTTT